ACGACACAGTATCCTGTAGGCAAGATAATATCATATTTTTTCTTTCTAACTTAACACACACAACAGAGCCACAGCAACGACTGGACAACAGAACACAGAAAGTGTCAGCAAAAAGTTAATGAAATCCAAATTTTAATTCTTAAAATACAGTAGTACAAGATGGGAAATTTCACAGACTCTTGGCGAGGTTTTACAAGAAAGAACACGATCCTTCCCTAAGATCAGCTTTTGGTCAGGCTTGAAATAGGATATCAAGATCTCCCACTACGGCTCTGGCAAGTGGAAGTGATGCTTATGAGATTTTACTATTATTCTTTTCTTAAACTGTTCTGACCTTTTTCTTGCTTCTTTTTCTCTCTCACACACCAACACTGCCTCTGTTCTAGCTAGCTAATAGGCACTGGAGCTGACTCATATGGAAATATCACAAAGTGGAATAATTACCATCATTGGAAAAAGGGAGGAAACACTACAAAATAGTAGCAGGAAAAGAACAGTTATCACTTTTAAATTATACTATGTAACTGAAGAGTTTTCAGTCTTTTTAGACTTGCAAATGCCCACATATTTTGCAAAGCAAATACAGATACCTGCAGAGAACTTGAGCTCACTGCTGCCAAGTTTGGTCTTCTCAGTTACCTTCTGAGCTTCAGAAGCCACTCCAGTCCAGAAGCTGAAGACAGCTGATACAGTTACTCTCTAAAAATGCTGTGCCAGATGGCAAAGATCAGCAAATCATCCAGTGTTTATTCTACACTGGATCCTGAAGAAGTATATACACCGTAGGTACACAGGCTTGGGTTGGAAGCTGTCAGCCAACCACCAGATGGATTTTAAAGGGATTTATAAAAAACTCATGTCGCAAAAGACTTTAAAACCTCAGCTTATTTCTTACAGAAAGAGGCCTATCAGTACAGGAAACTCTATTCACTTCTTTCCATGGCTTTTCAGTAGGCATCCAAGTGACACCATGAGATCAAAGACGTGGCTTAGGAAGGAAGGAAACTCATGTCTCCTTTTGTATTTTAGTCATGCTTGGATATCCAACAGATTTTTTTCTGTAATGGACAGGAAGTTGTATTTGGGTCTAAAAAAAAATAGTCAAAAGAAGTTGGTCTGCCCTCCCTACAGCCCCGATGAAGAAAAAGACTTCGTGACATGCTTAATTATAAGCACTTGAGCGGTTCTAACTTTACTGAATCTGGATGCAGATATTAATCATTATCTAAAGTTCATATTCAATGCATCTCTGATTATTAAACGGCACAAAATACATGAATTTAAATAAATCATCACACTTTCATCAGAGTTAAAAAAAAATAGAAGGGAATTTTCATTTCAATGTTGAGAAATAAGGAGCTGCGCTGTGTTTTGATACATAAAACAAACACTCCTTATAGTTAATTATTTCCCAGTATATTTCAACACAAAATCCAAAGTAAACAGGTAAAAAGTAAAAACATCATTCTGCCTGCGAAACAATTTCTGGGTAGCTTTAAAGAGCATACATTGATTTTGAAAGGTTGATACAGGCTTTCAAGGGAGAAATTTAAAAATAGAAGACAGTGCAAACAACCTAGGTACCTACAATCAAATTTATATTTTGTGACTAACCTTTTTAAAGTACTACACCATGTGAACACTTTTGCCCTCGTGAAACTCTGCTTTTAATTTTTAATCATAAAGGTAACACCCTACGTCAAGTGACTGGCTTAAGAGCTGCTGAGTAATCTGGGTTAGGAAGATCGATGTGCTTAAACGTTTAAGTGCACACAAAAAATCAGCAAAAACTAACTGAGTGTCAACCAAAGGGATCGATAAGTAAGGCACTGTGCAAATGGCTAGATGTTTGTTCTGTTACGCAACAAAGTGAGACCTGAAACCCCCATTCAATACCACGATGGTCAGATGCTTATTCGAAATTCGACCTATGTTGTTTTTTAAGGTATGAAATGAATGGATTTCAGTAACGATGCAAGCCTCACTTCTGGTTATACTTTATACTTTTTACAATCAGCATCAGGTTTCACTTATATTTTAATGAGAAAGCTATTTTAACATCTTGGCAATATGGATGTGCATCTTATATGGAGCCAGAGACATCTGAAGCAATATGAGAATCATGGTTTACAGTATCGGGTTCCACATTCAGAAAATTGAATTAAGGATACGACTCAAGTTCTCAGTAAGCTTCAATTTTATATAAAACATGAGTCTGCTCTATTTATGTTTGATATATATCAAGTATAAAAATCGAGGATACACAAGAGAATGTTTACCAACAAACAAAAAAGATTAAGCAATTACAATGATTCAGCATTTTAGTCACAAACACAATAATTGATTTATCAATTATTTTAAAATATTATAACAGTGTATGGCTAGTACTAGCAACTTTTGGTTAACAAAGAATAGCTATAAATAATCTATAAAACTATCATTTTTATTCTGAGAAAAAGCAGTGTTAATACAAACCTTCTCTTTATCATACATGTGCAAGAGAAGCCAGGTTTGTCTTGTCTTTTGAAACTTCCATTTTTCTGGGTTTTCAGACCAGCTGTAGTAAATAATAAAAAAAAAAAGCTTAAATGAAACACCGTGTGATCCAAATATTCACTATTCATACAATATTTCCTACAATGACTCCAAGTGACTTTGTATGCACGACGTGGAGTTTCATGACAGTGTGTGAAACAGATATTAGCACACATGTTTTTGTGCGACTGGCAAAAAAAAGAACACGAGAGGCAGCTACCTGGCTTCCGTGTAAAAAGATTACAGGAAGACATTATGGCCAGGAATGTTATAAATTTTCATCAGAAAGCACTGATTGCTTCAAGTTAAAAACCAAGTCCCACTCCTCACCTTTGAGTAGTTCTTTAGGAGAGGTCATTGCTCTCATTGGAGCCACGACAACTGAGAGCTCCAAACCCTTATCCCAGCTGCAGGGCTACCCGAGTATCTGGGGAGGTGGAGTGGATGAGAAATCAAGTCTGGGTTTCAGAAAGCTGATATTTCCCAATAAACTGAAATTCATATGAAATTAAGCAGCCTCTAGAGGACTGGAAGGAGGGACTGGTGCTAGAATGGCCACCTCAGCAATGGCTGAAGCCCATCACAGGTGAACTTCTGACCGTTCTAGAGCAGAGAAAATTTGTTTTTTCAGAAGCATGTTTTCAGGCTTGGATTTGTTTGAAGGTGTGACTTAAATATTGATGTTTACAGGATAGAAAATACTTTTTATGTCTCGCTTTTTCCCAGAATTCTGATTCCAATATTTAGCTCAAAACATCAGGCTGCTTCAGCACTGTTGAAAGTGAGTGGGTAAAACAAATTATTAACATCTGCAAATGTTCTTTGACTGCTTAGCAAACACATTTTAAATATGCAAAATTTTAGCTGGGTTAAAATGGCATGTTTACGTACATCTTGAACATGATTTTAAAGCTGCTATATTCTGGTTTAGATGAAGAGATCTATTTATTTCTATAAACAACTGAGCAAACTAGCAAATCTCACTATAAAATGAAGACTGCACTTCAAAAGTACATGCCCAAAAATTGGCATCTTAACCTGTACAAAATTTGCCAGAACAATGAAATATCCTTTAAAGATCCAGCAGAAAATATGAGGAGAAAAACTAGCAAATTTTACACTTATATGATTTTTCTCTAAAGAAAAACAAGTCTCCAGAGGGTAGCATGCAAGATGTCTTTAATGTTCCAGGTTGCTTTACACAGCAACAAAGAGCATAGAAATCAATTGAAAAGCCAGCTGGATATGAGAATTAGTATTGTTTAAACACTGTCAAGTCTAATAAAGCCAGAAAGTCCTCATATTCGGTGAACACGGCACCAGCAAATACATTGTTCAGTTGACTCAATGAAACAAAAAATCAAGACCATAAATTTGTAAAGTTCCTGCAGAAAACCCAAGTTCAGCCTTCGGAACAATTACACGGAAGATCTTATAGTAAATACTGTGTATCTGCACAGCATGAAAAAGAAAGTGAGTTTAAAATTCTTTTTTAGGTTAAATAAGTCTGGAAACGGTTTGTTACAATCTTTGCAGGGTGATGAGAACAAGCTGAATGACAGATCTGTGACCGCATCCTGTAGAAACAGTCCCTCTTCTAATGAAAACTTTTAACACATTTTTATTTCTTTAAACTATACTGTGTATTTACACCTTTGAAATTATATCCATTGGTTAGACACACCATGTAGCACCCTGAATATTTTATTCTCTGCTAATTTTATGTTTCTGTTGCTCACACTATCACCTGAGTACTGTTAGGCATTAACTTGAGAAATACAGCTCAATTTCACTAATCTCCTATAAAGCTATAGGATGCTAAAATATCTTTATTACCTAGTTTATAAACAACTGAGACCAACAAATGAGTGCACTATAAGGTTAATTGCTCTTATTAGCAAAACCATATGCTCTCTTCTACACATGGAGACAAGCCATTATGCTCCTGCATCTAAGATCCCACGTTGACTTTCACTCTAGTGAATTCTCTTGTAGAAACAAACAAAAGTTTCAACTAGTCTTCCTGAAAGGTTTCATTCTATATATACCATAATAATTCATACAAACAACAAATGCTTTAACGTAATCAACCACAGAAAGTACATTTGCGCCCAGTACAGCACTAGAGCCTCACAAACAACTTGGTTTGGTTTGCATTCTATCCTATTAGAATCAAATGCTAAATAAGCACGGCAAAAAAGTAATATTTTCATTAATAGACTATGACCATACTCATATTTTCAGAAAACACTCCCAAGTTTTTAATTGGTACTCTATCCATGGTTGCAGTAATCCCTTTTTCTCCTCCCTCCTTCAGGAAAATGGTCCTTCTCTTGACCTTAATTCCCATCAAACTGCAGGCAAAACACTCACGATAATGGATGTATAATCTTTTTAAGACAGATAACGTGGCAGTTGCTCCCTGTAATTGGACCCTCCCAACAGTTATTAAAATAAAACTTCTCCACTGATTCCTATGATGACTTTTTTCCTACTCCTATGACAGCTTTAAAACCTATGGGAAGTATCACTCCATGACAAAGTGATAGGGGCATCTCCTTTTATCAGAATGACATAATTACAACATTTTTAGAAATGCTCGACCTTTAAACTACAAAAGTTAAAGCTTTGTAACACCAGAGAGGTCTCATTTTGCTGTTTATATGCAGATAAGCTTCCTTGACATACTACAGCAGCAGAAAAGGCTTTTCCTTTGAGTGATTAAATAGGCAGAGTAAGACCAGCTACTTTATAGTTTAAAAAAACCTCTACATAAGACAATCACAACCTCTTTCACAGTTTGAATTAATTTGGTAGCCTTTAGGAATATCTGTGTCCAGATCTAATATAAGCTATGGAATTGGATGAAAAATATACATGTATAAACCATGTATTTTTCCAGTGCACCTAAGGCTAAGTTTCAATATATTGTACAAACACTAATTGCCTTCTTTACACAGTTAATGTTTGAATCTTTCTTACGAGCTTGAGCTCATTGAAAAACACATTCGTTGACTTTAGTTAAAGAGAACTTTTATGTTTGTGCAAATGATCTCCCCAAACGGCTTTGAAATTGAAGACACAGAGGAAATGAATCAACTGAACCAAGCAGCTTAGGGAATTTTACATTTAGGCTTTTGGGTTTTAGCATGAGAGTTTCATGTAGAAAGGCTGCCCAAGATTCTCACTGGTCTATCTCATAAATGACTTTTAGTTTCTACATTGAAGTAATCTCACACAAATGTATTCCATGGCTGAGTTGCACCTTCTCAGCTGCTCACCGCAGACGTAATTTGCCTCTAAAATGCTTAACCACATCCCTTCTCAACACGGTGACAGAAAATAGGACATAGCTTCTGAGTATGGGCAGTGTAAGTAGGCAAACTGGTAGCATGCAGGGCAGAGCACTCTCTGGGACGTCCTAGCAGAAGGAGAAGAGAAAGTAGTTAAATTGGTTCCAGAAATGCAGTAAGAGAAAAACATTATTGTTACAAATTGGATTCAGAAAGAGAACACAATGCATCTGCTTAGATCACTGGCCAGGACAAAACACTACAAAGCTGTCACAATTATCAAACAATCTCCTACGTGTAGAAAAGCACTATGCTGAGAACCAACTGTTTTACCCATTCAACTGAAAAGATGTAGGAGACAAGCCTTAAGAAACCAGCAAGAAATAAAGACACATGACTGCTGATAACCTTCCAGAGGACAAGAGAGTATTGCTGCACGTGAAACGCAAGGACATCTACATCCAATTTTGAGCCACTGACTGTCCAGCCCACCCCGATACACCTTCCAGGCTGGGTATCTATCCATGGTAAAGCAGAGTGCCACCAAATTTAGACTTCTCCAGCATACAGCCCAGGCTTAGCATCAGGGAATTCATTTGAAAGCTTCTCCAGCCCTGAGGACCAGGTCAGCGTGGAGCATCCTCTTTCTCTCCTGTGATTTACCCATGGGGACCCTATGTCTTACTCCCTCAAGCTTCACTGAATTTCAAAGAGGGGACAGAGCAATGGATCTGCTTGATCGCACCACATTCAAGGCTACACTGAAAAGATCTACTGAAAATGTTAGAAGCAGTGTACTGCCAACACTGTACAGAAACTGTCACATTCTTCTCACTCCATCTATTTGGGTACTTTTCTCTTTTGATACACTCATTCATCACCCTGAAACCTGTCTTTAAGGATCACCTTTGATCTTCTACGTGCCCCACACGGAAGGCTGAACAGAAGTTACGGCACACGATTGAGGCTTGCAGGGATCAAGTGAAGCACTTTACCCCCCAAGCGCTCTGCAAACAGTGCAGAAGGCACCATTTCTGTGCTCACCGCCCTGTCCATAAAACGTGGGTAACAGGTGCTTCCTCAATAAAGAACAACCATACTCTAAAAAATTCCCTTAAAGACATGCAAAGCTTTGCTGAAACACTTGGCACGCAAGTGATGTGCTGTAATGTTTCACGACGCAATAGCACTGACTTTAAAAGATCACACACTCGTGTTTAAGGCAAGTTCACCTCCGTTACACAGCCCAAATTTGGGAAGTCCGAATCCTGTTATCAAGTCAGCTCAGCGGTGACCGTAACGCTACGTATGGCCAACAGGTGAGCTTGGGAACCCGGCACCTCAATGAGGCTCCCTGGAAGCCACATGGAGAGAGCAGAAATTTGGCATAAGCTCATTCTTGTGGGAGAAGAGCCATTTTATGGATGGAGATTTTATATGGATATATAAAAACTATATGGATGTGGATGAACGTTTTATATATGCCCTATAGTGCATATAGTGAAGCAGGAATAATAATTTTTGGTCCAGTTATAGCACATATGATTATTTAAAGGGAAATGTAAAAGTGCTTATTTTTCCCAGGGGTATTCAGAATTTCTTCTCTTAGCGGCGTTTAACACAAATTTACTTTTAAAAAGGCAATTTTTGAAGGTCTGTCTTTGTCCACATCTGACTGCCCAGAAAGCTGCCTTGTGGTGCACTTCAGTGCTCAATGCAAGGTAAGAGG